CATGAAGACCTTATTTGTAACACCCAAACCTTTGCTAAGTGGTAGCCAACAAAATATTCTCCTAAAATAACAACTAGAAACTTAAGAAAAATGTACAATACTTAGTGTATTGAATTTCTAATTGCAAGTGTAGTTTAACAATTCTTGCTTCCCCTGTGTCTTCAGCTTTAAGAGGATAGTCAGGAATACTTCTACTAAATCTTTTAATTTAGGGAATATGGTTTAGAAATGAACAGAGATTAATAAACTGACAGAAAATCTACATACATAATAGTTCCACGCATTCAATGAAATACTAGAAAAGAAGAAGGCTATCACAAATTATTATTCAATATACAATTGTAGCAGGGCAGATCAATACAATGGAAAAGGTGTTACATCAAAGGTGATGGTAAAAGAACAAGCACATTAGAAAGATGGGAAGGAAATAAGATTACTTACCCATATCACAAGAGTCTAGGGTCACAAGAGAAAACTTCACCAAAGAAGGATCTCCAGGAAGAAATCTTTCCCCAGAGGCAGTCAGCTCTTAAATGAGGTCTAAGGTAGGTGCAGCCAGGCTTCACCCCTTCCAGTCACACAGGTGAATTGCCTTCACCTGTGCTCCCAGAGCTGACCAGGTCCTTTCCCCAGGTGATCTATCAGTGGTTCAGGCTGTGACCCAACAGTTCACATACAACAATTTTTCTATGAATCATTCTGTATTGATCTAGTTGTGGAATTTCTGAGCCTTTCCAGTTTATAGCTGTTTTGGACAAGTTTCATGTATCACATTTCAGGTCTAATTATGGGAAAACAGTTGTCTAATGAATTCAGCTACATCCAATATAAAAGGCACAGGTGACATTCAGTAATTTTGACATTGTAAAAATAATGCACAGAATAATATTGCAGAGTACTTGGAACTGCATGAAAGATGGTCTGAAAGCTGTCAGAAAATTTGTTCTAGGAAGTCACTGAGTTGTATATATAGCCTTTTTGAGGGCATACTTTGAAGCTGCAGATACTGGTCATCCTGAAATTAATAAGGGAAAATACAGATCCTCTTAGTTTTTCAGCCCAGCTAGTAATGTTATGTATAAGGGAAAGATGGTAGATGCTCAGACCCATGTGCATTGTCTGTCTATCGTTCCTGTCACTGGCCTCTGCTTGCTTTCAGTTCAGGTAATCCTCATCATGAAGTTTAACCTTCACATACTTGTTCATTCTTGAAATCCCCTTTCATAAAGTCCCTTAAGCCTGTAACTTTTTTCTGCCCACAACATCCATGCTTCCTATCCCTGTTCTTTTAAAACCCTCCTTATGATTACTTCTTCAGAGGGCCGCATAGATATTAATAGCATTACATTATCTTTTACTCTTTCTGTGCTCTCAGAATAACATTTTGCTTTGTTTCTTTCTTTTCCCTCCATCTCCTCAGATTTCTATTTTCATTATCTCTGAGGAAAGTAACATTGTGGTAATGATATTTGTAAGTCACCTTAACCTGTAAAATGCTAACGTGTACTACAGAACCATACAACTGAAGTTATTTGTAGTGCCAATAAGTGTGAACAATCTCTTGAGCCTGTGATATTTATACAATGATCTGTGCCACAGCAAAGCTGTGTGAGGAGGTTATGTCCGATCACCATGGGAACACACATGGGTACACACATACATATGTAAATAGATCAGATTTAAAACTGCGGTCTCCCTCCAAAGTTGTTTTCTACTTTACAGCAGTTTTTCTTTATGTTTTTTCTTTTTTAGAATTGCAGGCAGGAAAAAAAAGATGATTTTGAAAAGACGATTTGAAACAAAATTATAAATATGTTTATTTAGCACAAAATGAAGACGCCCATGCTGTGTGACTGCTGTTCAGCATTATAAAGTGTAGGTTCTTTACTGTTCCACTGTAACACACATTTATAGTACCATCATAATCAGTCTACCTTGTTGAAAACACCGTGTTTTAAATCCCGTGATTGGCTAAATCACTGTTGTGACACTGAGCTCTTAGAGGAGTTAGGGGCATATCTCTGTAGGTGCCCATCTAGGGGAGAGATAAGACATGGTAGCAGAAGAGTTGAGCTTCATAGGAGAGAAAAAGACTAAGACTACAATCCATGAGACTATCACAGGGTAGCATGAACTTGTTTTTAATAAGACTAATCCTTTGCTGGAGTATCAAAGTCAAGGAGTCCCCAGATGATGCTGTTCATCTGGGAGAACCAAATAAAGGAAGCAGAAAATGGGTTTGTTACCAACCATTTCAGTTTTAAATAAGTCTAACGTTTTATTCAGCATTTACTCAGCTTAACAACATCAGAAAACAAGCTGGCCATTGGAAGCACAGAAATACATGCACAGCATTAATACATGACTTAATTTGTACTTCTGCATCTCAATTTGAATAAGCAGCAAACATTTATTTAGTCATCTGTTTTGATATGTTAATCTGTTGTTCATGAATTCTTGTGTGCACAGCTGCATAATAGCTTAGCAGGCATTCAGTGCAAACATAGAACTGTTTCCCACAGACACAAAATAATACAGGTAGGTAAGCTGATCTTGTGTATAACCTCATATCTAAAGCTATTGACAGATAGTAGATTGAGATACATGGATGCATAGATCTATAGTTTATTTGTACATCTGTATGGAAGTTATGCCTTTGCATGCATATGTGCACACATTTGGATGGAGAGGGAGGGAAGAATGGAGGAAAGGGATGGAAGGAAATAGGAACAAACTGAAATATAGGAGATTTGGTCCGAATGTGAGAAAACACTTCTCTACTGAGCACTGGCACAGGATGTCCAGACTGGCTATGGAGCCTCCTCCTTGGCAATGTTCAGAAGCTGCTTGGACGTGGACCTGGGCAGCCTGCTCTGGGTGGCTCTGCTTGAGGGCTCAGACCAGTTGGGCCCAGAGGTCCCTGCCAATCTCAGCCATTCTATGATTCTGTAATATTTGCATATATACATATATATACACAAACATGCACTTTTATATAATCTTCTCATGTAACTAGAGGAATTAAATGAGAAAAGCATAGTGATTGTCCAACGTAACACAATGAGTTTGTTTCACTTGTGGAAGGAAGTCCAGATCAGTTTTGTACCTCATCTCTTGGACTGCATCATACCTCCATCTCCTTCTCTATTTATATGCAGCATATGAATACATCCTGCAGAAAGAGAACTCTAGTAGCTGATTTTGAAACCCTTTACTTTAAAATTAAATTTTGGTGCCTTTCTCATCTCTGTTTTCTCAATGTTCATTTCAAAAGTTGTAATTAAAAATGTTTGCTTTACTCCATTGGCTGGGTAGTATAGTAGTAATTGCAAGAAATAAATTTAGATAGTAATTGAGTGGAGACTCAAAAACAATAGAGTGAAAGCAAATCTAATTTTACTGACTACTGTGGGGCAAGTGACTGTTTATACCAACTGTTACCTGTGTTTTGAACAGTGCATTGTCGATTTGCCTGTATTTACTTGGCTATGGAAAAAAGTGGCTTCAGTACTGACAATTAACATTGTCGCACAGCCAAATCTTCTCTCCAGCTGTCCAGTTTTCCACCAAAGACCCAATTCTAGCTTCAACAAAAAACTAAAGAGCTTCATGGGGTCTCTAGAATCTTTGGTATCTGTTCAAGTGAAATATGTCAGCCTTCCAGTTTTAAGACATTTTATACAGAACTATATTTTTAGAACTGTTCTAATATGAAGTCATGCACAAGCTTGTAAAATCTCTTCTTGTATGTGATTTCAGAGTACCTCACAAATATTTACTATAGCAAACAATCAGAAAGATAAGAGAAAGATAGAAAAATGTGTGAACTGGCAGACTTGCGCTTGCCAGCTTTGTATGCCTGAATTTTGGTTTGTTGGGCTTTCCCTTTTTTTCATCTAGCCTTGCTTTTCACTTCCCAGTGTAATGCATTTCCTTCCAAGGAGGAGAGCAGTGCACTGGATCTGATACAGCTTAAGCATTTCACCAAGAAGTAATTCATGTTACTGCAAATACATGATTACAATAAGAGTAGATTAAATTCATCCAATAGGATTTTTTTTTTCCTATTTTGATTTTAGTTCAAGGATAGTGTGTGTCATCTAGATTTCAAGCTAGTGAAAAATTTGAAGTTGTATTTGCAAAGAAAAAAAATGTTAGCAGTTTTTCTGTTTTTCAATAATAGGAATATTCTGTTTGCCAGTATTATTTTTTGCCACAGGTTATCTATTTCATCTGAACTTTTAAAATTACAACAGATATTTTTCATTTATAGTATTTCAGTTTAAAAATAAAGCCTAATTCAAAAATTATACTGAAATTCATTTCCAAGAAACAAAACATTATATTGGCAGATTAGCTTTGATATGGTAAGCTAGGTCTGTGTAGCAGAGCTGCTTTGACCTTTGTGGTAGATAAATGTGTATCTCAAAATTAGGAAAAGAACTTCAGATGCAACAGTGAAGCCTAAAAAAGTAGAACAGTAAGAATTAAACTTCAGTATACTTAGCATGTCTTCCAGCTCTGCCGGCTCTGCCATAAATTCAGTGACAGACTTTATAGCTTCCAACTTCAGGATTCCTTTAGTCTAAGAGGGATATTACCCAAATAGAGGAAATAGGACTTATCACAGAACAATATTTTTAAAGACAGAAAATTTTGTTATTTGTCTATAGTCTTCCTGGAGTTTGCAAAACTTTTCAGTGAGAACTCCTGGACTGTTTTAATCTGATGGCAAAAGAAAGCAGCACTGATTGCTATTTAATTGCCATTATCTTACTAATGCCAAATTTGTGACCCATATTAATTGCAAATACAAGAAGATTTTCACATGAAACAGTGAATACCTTTGAAGTTGTGTGGAAACATCTCTGCCTTTTGGTACTTTTTCTTTTTTTAAAAAAAAATTGGCATGGTTGTGACTCGTACTACAGTTGGAAACACTCTTTTAAGCATTCTGTGGTTTAATTTCTGAGTTCCTCTACATTTTTTTCCCCCCTCAGAGACTATGAGGAAGATATTTCATGAAAAGGGCATCTTGGCAGGAGAAGAAAGAGCTTTTAAGCCCCATCTGACCTTTATGAAGTTGTCAAAATCAGCACAGCTTCGTAAGCAGGTGAGCTCACATTTCACATAGCTTAGCAGCAATCTAGAAAGTTTAATTTGTAGATGAACGAAGGAGTTGCTTATGCTATAGCATCATAGTTTTACATCTTTGTTGCCAGCTGAAGAGGTAAGACTTTAAAATAGTGGTATGTTATAAGGAATAATTAGGAATACATCTTCTGTGTAAAAAGCAGTCCTATACTGTACTGTAGGTTAATACTCTTGATATTCGCATTACAGTAAAATCATAGCCTGTTTTCTTTTGTGGAACTATGCAAAGCAAAAAGATGGAATTACTTGTTCAAAAGTACAGAATTAGTACTAAAGTGTAGATCACTGGAAATGCTGTCACAGTATTTATATGCTGCTTGTGTGGATATTGTTTGGTTACTCTGTGGGAGAAAATAAGAAAATAAACAGGGGAATTTATGTGTTGATTATGCATAATATGCAGGCAATAAATAAAATATGCAATTTTGATTGAATATGTTTTGGTAAATTACACAGTAGTGATAAAATGCAGCATTATATTCTCTTGCAGGTATCTATTTCTTGCCCATTTATTAGCTTTTTTGACAAGAAAAATAGACAAACATAGAAGTAAGCTACAATAACTATAATGAGAAATATAGAGAAGCAGTAATAGGATATCTAGCTTTTTGTTTCACACTAACTTAACAGTAATTTATTATTAACATAAGATATATTCCATAAAATTTATTTGCTGGCATTGCAATAAAATGCTTTATGTAACCTTTCAACATTGGCTCGGAAAGTAATTTTCAAAAGAAGTATTTTCTAAAAATAAGGATTAAAGTACATAGTATAATTACTGTCATGTGATTTAGCAAGCATTAAAGTACTTTATTCATTAGAAAAAAACTACAAAATATGAAAAGTGAAGATCTTAATTAAGGAATATTCTGAAATCAACTGGAAGATGGAATGAGTTCTGAAATGCATTAAGTAGCTTCAGGGACATAATGCATAGTTACTCTGAAGCGAAATAAGAACTTGTCTGCAGGTTGTAGGTGGTGTGTTACAGCTCATAAAACTGTAGGATGAAGCTTTTGCTTGTATTAACAGCTGCTTTTTAAAACATTCTAAAAATCCACAGCTTTTCTAGAATATCAGCTGTTCATCAATGTAACTGTTTCGTTAAAACATCTCAGATAATCAAGGTGCTTTTTTGCCAGTCTGCTTTTTTTTTTTTTAAACATTCATCTACCTTGCATGAAGTATTGGCCAGGATACATATTTTCTGTGTTCTGATATTCACAGCTACTGACAGAACTGGGTCGGTGTCATTTCCAATCATCTTCCTTAGTCCTCTGTAATACTGGATAATACACACAGTATTCTAAAGATGCACTGTTTAGAAGATATTATGTATTAAAAATCTGTAAATGATCAGGAATTTTTGTCAGTCAATCCACTGTCTGGCATTAGCATCAGTCTTCTCTATCATTTTTTTAAACTGTGTCCATATATTTAGCAAGATAGTTTCATTGCATTTCCTGACAACAATAAATAACAACATGAAATGCAGAAATTCTATCTATTTTGTAGTACATCTTAACATAATGTTTGATTGCATTTTCGGATCATATAACAGCATGAAAACCAAGAAATGGAGAGTGGATGACGATGGCATGAGAAAGCATATAAAAGAGTAAACAGAACAAAGTAATTGACTTTAGTTCACAGCTACAGCTTCAAAAATATATTATTATTTTTTTAAATGTGAGATTTCTAATTTGAATCAGTACTTTAAACCATTCTCCATACAATGACATCTAAATTCCACCAACAGTTCCTTTTGTAAAAATAATTTTAAATATCTTTTTACATTTTGTGACCTATGTATCTTCTGAGGCTTGAGAGTTGAGAGTTCTGAGACTTGAACTTTGCAAAGTTGTCACGGGTATTTACAATTTAAAAGAGTTTGAGAGTTCAAAATGAAGAAAAATCTCAAGAAAACAGCTTTCCACTTTGAAGTCACATTAAGCTGACCAAATGATAAATGTTTTTTTTTAAAAAAAAAGAAAAACAGAAAAACCAAAAAACACAACCTTGGAAATAGAAATTAGTAAAGGATAACATTTCAGATAAAGTGGGTAAGGAAAGAGCTGTCTGAGTGCCCTCTCAGCTTCTCAGGTTAAAGAACCTTCTTAACTGCTCAGAAGTGGAGAAACTTATTCTTCACATTCAGCTTGACAATCCTGAAATCAAATGTGCATGGAAAACTTCCCCACATTAAGCAGGCACAGTGTGTCTTTGGGTGCCCTTTGGAATAAGACAAAGGGAGATAATTTACTTGCACATGCCTAGTTGCTTCCACAGCTGACTTGGATGATAAGAATACTGGGTTAGTATCATCATCTTCTGTACACAGAACAACTGAAACACAGTGAAAGAAGTAACTGAGTTTTGCACTTAAAAATAACATTTCTATTCTCGTTTACCTCACTATCCTGCTACATTGCTGTAGGTCAGTCACAACCCCTCTGTGTTTCATTTATCTGCTATTTATTTCAGGGAGTGTTGTGAGGCACACCTGATAAATGCTGTATAATATTCAGAGATCCTTTAGTACATAGTGCTGCCTGAACTGCAAATATGATGAAATGGATTTTGTTAGTAGAAGACTGACAATTACACTGCTCAGATAGCATCTGCTTAATTAAAAAGCTGTATATCCTTAGTTCAGGCATAAGTTGACAAGAAAGTATTCCAAGACTGTAATTTAAGAATATTTGACATATGGTATTCCTCTATGCAGCACATATTTAGAATGCAGAATGTATAATTAATAAAAGAGAATATATTTGTGAGAAAAATCTATAAACAACACTTGTAAGTATAATACGTGGCTATCATTCAACTTCAGTGGTAATAAGATGTTAGATGTTATTTTGCAGGCAGTATTATTACGACTACACTGAAAGTAGCAGCAACTGCACAGTTTGTCATTTACTCTTGTATTTTTTAACGTAATTTATGTTAAACTTTTGTCACTATCCTAGTTTCATTAGAGATAACAAAAGTTACTTACCTTGTAGTATCATAAATGCACATCATAAAAGGAGGAAATTCTGCACTGAGTCTGCACTGAACTGTCTCTGATTTCAGGTTTTTTTGGTGGACACTTATGCTCACCTTCTTGCTGTTGTCAGTGAAACATACCAAACAGATAAAATGTTTAGTAGCTATGTTAAGTACTTCAGTGTTAGTAATTATGAATATAACTTTTTTTTTTTCTCATAGAATTTTTTCTCTTGGATTAGTGATAGTGGAATCTCAGCTTCCTGAAATCAAGTAGAGCTGAAGAGAGATCCAGTATTTCTGCTGATTCTGTCTGATTAGCAATACTGTTACGGTTATCTAATGTCTTTTCTGTCTTAGAGAACTTAGACAAGGCACTTATGCTATTGCAGGGAAGGTTATTACTTCTGTGGTAGTTACATATCATACCTCCTCTTTATTCATGTTCATGTACGTGTTGCATACACAGTGATCAAATGCTGGGTTCAGAGTCGATCCTTGGCACTGACAGAAGTGAAACAGACTGCCTTTGCTCTGGTATTAATATTTTAAGTTTTACTCAATAGTTGAAAAAAATGCTGGTTCATGTCTTAAATGCCTAGTATAGTTTACCATTTCCTGGACTTGTAATTTTGTTTTTGTACTCACAGAGCATAGTTATATATTCTTACTCTGCAGGACCATAAGAGAGTGATTATCAATAAAACCTAAGCGTTTCCCCTCTAGTTAGACCCCACTGATTCTGACTCCCATTCTTTTTATATCAGCTCTTGGAATCTCTTGCCTTTCCGGCCAGAAATGCAGCTTTATTAAATGTCACAGAGCTCATTAAATCCCTCTATATTTCCATTAACCAGTGTCTACATTAGTAGTTTGTACTGTAACAACGTGATTTGTTGATCTGGGAGTCCAAGGCACATACTTCTATGTGATCCTTTGATGATGATTCTAAAATGACTGAAATGATTACTTCAACAGTACACAAAACAATAAACACTTTGTTTTTATAGTGTCATGAGACCAGCAAAACTATTTTGATTTTTCTACAGTATTTTTTCAATCTGAGAATCTAACAGTAGTGGCTCAAAATGCATGATCCAGCAGCTGGAAGAGGTTCTTGAATTCTCCTCTTTCAGTCTTCCTGCTTTCATATCATGCACCATACAGGGATATATAACTTCCATACTGATTTTAAACAAGAATAAGAAATGACATACACTATAGACAATTTTTAAAAGTGAAATGTAGTGTGAGGCTTTAGTCATACTCATTATTGTTGAAATTAACAAACCATCCTACTGAATATGGCAGATATCTTGTAATACATGCTTTTAGATATAGCCATGCTATAGAATTGAGGCTGCAGAGGGCAACACCTCTTTATGCATGAACTCTTCTAAGTTCACATTAGGATTATCAAGGTCTAGGTTAAGAAACTTTTCAACAACAGCCTTGCATTTTTCCATCTGGTCTCCTTTTGAAGGATGATCAATACGTTTGATAGCTTTTCCATTGCGAATCAGTTCTGATACTTCCACTCCTCTTTCAATAATTTTGGCAGGCATTCCAGCTAGCGCAGCAATGTTGGCAGCATGACTAACAGTGGATACTCCTTGTTTGATCTGATAGAAAAACACCAACTCATCTCCATCTTGGTGAGTCTCCATGGTCAGGTATTCCAGAAGAGGTGTGTCAGGCAAAAGTTCCAGCTGCATTAAGCTGTGAAAATTAGTGGACACAAAGACCTGTGGACACTGGGTACCTTGATTGATCCAGTACTTCAGCACAGCAGCCAGAAGGGCCAGGCCATCTAGTGTGTTGGTCCCTTTGCCAAACTCATCAATAAGTACCAACGACCTCTCTGTGGAATTGTTTACTGCCTTGGCAACCTGGTTAAGATCAATCATGAATGTGGAGAGTCCTACAGAAACTGATTCCCTAGTGTGGATTCTTGTGTAAATCCCATCAATTGCTCCGATCTCTGCCTCTGCTGCAGGCACATAACTGCCAATTAGACCCATAAATATTATAAGACCTACTTGCTTTAAGTAGACACTCTTTCCAGATGAGTTGGGCCCAGTGATTATCTTTATTCGTCTGGTAGCCTCACCACTGTTCACAGGATTAGCCACAAATGTCTTTGCACACAGTTCCATCAGTGGATGTCTTCCATCCTTGATGTGGAAGCCATGGCGCTGAGTAAAGTGTGGCCTGCAGTAGGAGTTCTCCCGGGCCATCACTGCCAAAGCCAACAGCACATCCAGGTGTGCAGTATACTCAATCACGCTGTTAAGCACTTCAGACCTCTCCAAGATCTTTGCCTGCAGCTGGTGCATAATAAGTGTTTCTTGGTCTCTTATCTCACAGTGCAAGTCACCCAGCAGGCTGTCTAGCTCCTTAGTTCTAGCACTTCTGTAGTGCAGTTTATCCTCTGACAAGAACATGAAGTCCAAACCTTCAATTTCAAAGTCACTTTTATCCACCATATTTGGTAGCCGTGGAATGGAGAGAAGGAACCCAATCAAAGGAATGTAGATCACACAACAGGAAGGAATATGGCTGTCCAACGTTTCCAGTTCTTTTTGTGCCACTTCTGTAAGAAAGTCTGACAGACCCATTAGCCTTCGCTTCTTTTCATCAATGGTGGGGTCCACGTTGGGTCTAACAGTGAAGCGATTTTGTGAGATGCTGCCTTCAAAGTCCACCACTTTGCTGATGAGACTAGCAATGTATTGCAGATCATCAGTGAAGACACGTGAAATAATCTGAAAGAGTTCAATACTATGGGGCAGAGAGCGACATGTGTCTCTAAGGCACAGTGCACTGCACACTGTCTTATAGAGTGCTTGCCAGTCACTAACTTTTGTATGGGATAGAGTCATTCTTTTTAGAATAAGAGGCACATTTTTTATATTCCTGAGGCAATCTTGAAGGGTAAGGACTGTTTCATGGTTCTGAGCCAACAGGAAGAAGTGGATAACATCCAGCCGTTTGTTTAGCTCTGTCAAGTTCCGAGTAGGTCGCGTAAGCCACAGCCTCAAAAGTTTTTCTCCCCGTTTGCACCTACAGCGATTTAAAATCCCATATAAACTGAATCCTTCTTTTAATCCACTAGAAAGCTTATACACAGAAGGATGGATATCACTTTTAAATATCTGTAGGACACTGTAAGTGTCTTGGTCTATATTCACAGTTTCTAACACCACAAACTTTCTAAAGGCCAAAACAGGAACTGCAATACCGCTTTCTTCCAGTTCAACTCCAACCCTTCTCCTGTCCAGGTACTTAAGGAGCCCCCCTAATGCTCTTATCATGAGTGGGCTCTCAAAAGGGATGACTGAGGACAAATAAAGAATTTTTTCTGTTGCAGTCATATGGGATGGGATAAATGGAAATTGTCTAGATAGGATTCGTTGCTTGCTGACTTCTAGGCCAAAATCTGTGTTAGGAAACAGGACAATTTCTATTTTTCCTTTATCGCTATCACTGTCTGCGAGGTTTGTCAGGAAATTGGCAATATTCTGATCCTGTTTTGCACTTGTCACTATGCATTTAGGATGAACTTCCCCAGTCACTTTTTGCAGTAGCTCAAGGCCTTCGCTATCAGGTGTATCAGGCATGAAGTAAACTGAGCAATCTTCTGTATCATAGTAAGCAACAGCAAACTCTCCTGCATACCACAAGACAGACATATGTATCTCAGAACACTCTTGCTCCTCTTGTTCAGGCGCAAGCAGCGGTGGCAAGGGGCAACTCGTGGCTGACGTGGCACTCATTCTGTTGGAGAACAAAATCCCTGACTGGATGTGGTCCAGTGCAACCTGCTGCAGGCTACTGCTTTGAGCCAGGGGGCAGACGTGTGATTGCCAGAGGTCCTTCCCAACCTCAGCAACTCAGACCTGCACCCAGCATTTCTGTGAAGTATTTACACACCTCCTTCTTCACACAGTGCCAATTTCTGTGCCAGCAGATGAATGTTTGCTGTAGGAGTCAGCCAGTCTCCCCTACAGAAGCCACAGCAACAGCCAACTCTCTGCCTCCAGCTCCACTCCTTACCCTCCACTCATCCTCCTCGCTCACCGGTGGACAGCTGGCTGCGGCCGTGTGAAGCCCGCGACTTCCACCTCGGCCCCTTTCCTCCTTCCCTTCGCCGGGCAGGAGCCTGGCTCCCGGCCTGTCAGGAGGCCCTGCGCCGGGGCCGAACCGCTCCACCCGGCCCGCAGCGCCGCCTCTGGCCGCCGCGATGCCAGCCCGGCCCTCGGCCGGCGGCGGGCTGTGCTGCTGCGCGGGCTCTTCGCCTGGCCGTGTGCCCCATAGGCTTCCGCTCACTGTGGCACTGCTTCAGGGGCCGGGTGTTTTCTTCCTCCCCACCCAGCACCCAAGTATAGCACGTCTTCGTAATCGAGTGTCTGTAGCTTTCCCATGTGGGAGCAGCTCCTCTTCTCCACTGCTCCAGACACGTATAAATGAGCCATGACCTTCCCGTGCACCTGCATTGTTTCATCCTTTTGCCATCAGCACCTCATTGCAGCCATTGCAGGCAGGGCTCCATCAACTGCTCCAACTTACTACAAATATCATTCAGTTTTCCAAATATCTTCCAGGAATGTGTCAACAGCAAACCTCAATTCCTGACCATTTAGCATTTGATTCACTCATGACGAGTCTGTTTTTGACAAGAACCATCCCAGCCCCTTTTGAATGCTGTTTCTTATTGGAGCATGATGATCTCAATCTCTTCCCTGGATTCCTCCCTCATTTTCTTCACCGACTACTTGAGGCTTCACATTTTGACAAGCATTCTCCTGGCTGAAAAGGTCTTTCTTTAAATTACTGTTGGAAGACTAAGCGTATTTCAAAGAACTGTCAGCCAGAGAACACCGACTGATGATTTAGTTTCAAAATAACCTTAGTATCTAAGAACTAATTTAGCCATAGAGTATCATATTTTAAATAACGAGTGAGTTTGGAATACACTTATGCTTGCAAGAAGATTGCGTACCTTAGATAGAAAACATCCACCACTAGATGTCATCATTTCAGAGATTAAAGAACTGGAAAGACATTTCTGACCTGGTTGAACAAGACTTACGGTGATAGAACCAAATGTGCAGGTTCTTAGAGAAACAAGGTTCTTCTGAAGTGAATCTTTATTGAAGTAAAAACTCAGTAGAAATGCCTCCGGTTAGCACATATTGCATGTGAGTGACTGTGAAGGGATCACAAGAAATGAGCATGTGCACTGCTTAGACAAATGAATGTAGTATAAAGGTATGTGGAAGGAGAGAGCATCTGTCTGCTTTGGAGGATCTGGTGGAGGACCTTTTCAGCGTGGATGGGGATAAAAGTAAAGGAAGAAGCCAAAAACTGGCATATGGAGACACAAGCCTAACTAACGTGATTAAGGAGACAGCAACAAGAGTTAAACCTAGTCAGCACAATGATTGCTATGCCTAACACAGGCAAAACCAAGAAACAAACCCTGCCAATGACACTATTTGGTGGGCTGCTGGGAAAGTACAGGCAAAATAGGACATTGCAACTGTTGGTTTGTGTAAAACTTGATTGTCCAGGATGTTAAAGTGGTTGGTGAGACTACAAACTAATGGAGGAAAGTACTGGGGAAGGGGGTATTGGAGAAACAAAGGAGGGACAAAAAAGAGTGTAAAAAATCATGTAAAACAGCACTTGCTTCACCCCTGGAGCCTGTCCTGTTTTATTAAATCCTCTCTTAACCAGCTGTCTGCATAATCCCATTCCCAGTCCTGTGTGTGTGCTGCAAGGATGAGGGGCCAGCTACTGGCAGGACTGGTGTGTGTGAATTTGGAGTTAGGGCAGTGTGTGAGTTGCGCAGGCCTGCTGTGTGAGTGGTTGGAGCCAGTGGAGTCTCAGTGCCAGATGCTGAGGTGAGTGGGGTCTGTCTGCTGTCTGCCCTATCTGTGGGTACTGTTGCACCAGTGTCTTGCTGGGGCACTCCCAGTGACGTGTATGTCCTCTACACTTCTGCCTGTGTCTGGGGGTACGTGCTCAGCTTTCCTACCAGTGGCACATGCACAGAGGACAGCAGCAAGTACATCCATCACAGAGCCTGTGTCCCCACAGTGCCAATCTGTTAGAAAAAAAAACCCCAAAACAGTATATATTTTCCTGTTTGATGACCTTGAAAACAAAAAACTGCTCTTGACAAACATTTGAGATATTTCTCCATAATAACTTGCCTGGTGCTGATATGGAAAATAATTTACAGTTAAGTGTTCCATGAAAACTGTTGCAAACCATTTGAAATTAAAGCACTTGCAGTGTTGTGTATACTACATGACTGAAGAAGAATGAGTAGAAAGGAGGTGTAATGACATTTTTAATCCTTTGTTTAAGTTCTGCAGTAGATAACTGCTTAGCTGAAACAGAATATTTGGCATAGCATTGTTTCAGTACTCTTCTTTCATTTTGAAGCAAATTTCCATTCTAACAATACCTCTGGTTAAAATGAAAACTATAGGCATTAAATGTGAAAGTTCAGTCTTCTAGCAGATCCTGTAATTGAACTTTATATTGATATTTAAAGGTGAAAAAAATTGACTCAAGCCTTTACGAAGATTATAAAAGCCATTATTTTGGAAATGAAATCCTGCATCGCTTTGATCTTTGCTCTATGTTGAAAAAAAAGGAACCGAGTGGCTACTACTACTGTGAGTCCTCTGTTTTTCTTGGTAAGTACATCTTCATTTTCCTCTTTTATCAATGGTGTCTATAATTTATCTACATGAAAAGCCATTCTTTCTGCAGTGTGTGTTAGGAAATTTTTGTAATAATATCCATGGAGTCTGACAGAAGTCTGTCCTTCAAGTCTTGGCTCTCCAGGTATACTGGTGTATGCTTCTTGATGACAGCTAAAGCTTGTGGTTAACTATCCATCCCCAGTCCCATTTCTTATTCTAAAATGAGTGAGAGCTCATCTCTCTTTTGACTACAAAGGCAGCGTGTGTTACCAAATTTGATTAGACACAGTAACTAGAGATGATTAATTATAAGTGAAATATCTCTGGTATGGGAGAGATGTGACTTCACTTATTCATATATAGAGAGAATTTAAATGATGTAACAGATTTAATAACTTCTCAGAGTATCATCAACACTTCTGACGTTGTACAGATACCTTGTGCAGAACATTACAATGCCAGAAATTACGTTTGTCTACTCCTGCTTTATTTGAAATTTCACTCAGTAGTTATTTCTAGGCTTGAATTCTGATTTTGCCACAAATCATGTATAGCTGGCATTTCAGGTGGTATGCACAGAAGGTCTATGCACTGAGAGTCTATGGGATAAAGGCACTATCATAAACCCACTTAGTTCCCACTAGCTGATGGTAGAGCTTGGTTGAGACAACTGTTAGTCATATTAAGAACATGAGTTAAAATAGTCTTCAGTGGAATGTTTAGAAAATGTTTAGGATATTTACTTAAATACAGTCAACCCTTTCAACCTAGGTATATATTGTGTAATTTATTATCTTGAAAGATACCATTCCCACAGTTTGGAGATCTTTAATGGGATGACAGGCTAGTAGTCATACAGCAAAATGAAAATTTTTAATATTAATTGTAAGTTTTTTTCCCTTTCCTAATTAGGCAGGATCTTTCTTTGTATGTGCTGTGTCAGATGTGAATCTTAAAAGAGGCTTATAACAGGGAACAGATCATGGTCTTAGAAGGTCAACTTATGTTTTTTCTTTGTAAACCTGTGATTTTATATTTTGGGCCATGTCAATTTTAATGTAGTGGTGTTTGAAGACATGAGATACTGACATTCATGCCTAAAGCTCATGTGAAGACTTAACTTTGGATTTTTCCTTTAGAAATAGAAATTCAGAAATGGAGCAAAACTTTGTTTTGCATGTTGTTAATGAGCAGTGGTTCCTTTTCAATAAGAATATGGATAGTCTTAAATGTTAATAAATTGAAGTCTTCACTTTGACATACTCAAGGAAAAAGAGAACATCTGTTCTTGTGTGGGTCCTCTAACAAGAAGAAAGAAATATAAAAAATCTCTTACAGGTGTCCTCAGCTACAAAATGCTTACTTAAAGACTATGATAAACTAATCCTCGTATACATTGCAGCATTTTCTAGAGTTCTGGTAATAAGCAGAAATATTCTTAACAAAAATTGACCAGAGGGATATCAACAAGCAAGTCAGTGGATATAACCTTTTCAACTTAAAAGCATCCTAGCTTTATTAATGAAAATATTCATGACCAAGGAATGATGGAATCCTCAGAAAGTGCGAATAAAACATACATTAGGGAAGTCTTTCAAGACTATTGTCATCCCTTCTAGCTCAATAGAAACATCTTAATTGTAGACAATTTTAAAGGAAAGCCATGACTTCATCTTTAAGGACTAAGAAATCTTAAAAAGAAGAAAAATTCTACTTATTCTGAAGATGCATCCTTAAAGACTAAGAAATCACAAAAAGATGGAAACTTCGCAAAGGTAGTGTGTCCATTCATCCTCAAATTCTGCAAAATCCTAAAAGGCACAATGAGCAAAAAATAAAAGGAAAACTGCTGATACAGGCATCTTTTCTGTCTGAGCTGATTTCAGTGGAAAGCTACAACATTCTAAGGCTTGAAATGGACAGAAATACATGGGATTAATTCATTATACTCCATTTTTTTCCTTAACAAATACTATTCTTTCATCATCATAAAAACGACACTGGGTTTGTATGCCTCATCTGCTGTTTTTCACCTACTCTTCAACATCTGAAGTTGTTCATACTTAATGCTATGTCAAAGCTAACTGTAGTGGAGAAGACAAAGGGTGTTTATAAGCAGTTACTACCATCTCTTAAGTTTCTGTTGTTTGGAGCAGATTTGCATAAACACTGCTACTAAAAGGTAGTGTTGTTTCCAGTAGCCCATGTAGGGCATAGGTGGTAACTTGCTTTGTGCCTTGTGGTACCTTGTTTCCTTAACCTCCAACACTGGTGGTGGAAGTGCTTACTGGTCCTCAGGTCTGTTTTGAGGAATTATTATTAAATACTTACACAGTACTTTCAGCATGCCAGTCACTTTGCAAATGCTAAATATTATTTTGTGTTAATGTTTTTGTTTGCACTTAGGCCATCTTTATTTAGATTTACTGTTACAAAACAAATAGAAAATACTGCCTGTGGTATAGATTAAAAAAAAAAAATAGGATGGCTCTTTAAATTAGTGACAACAAATATTGCAAAATCCAGATCAGTCAAAACCAAAATTAGATTTATTTATACATCTCTCTTTCTCTCTTAAATCTAATATTTTTTACTTGTGTTATGGATTTTTTATAGCTATACCTATGCGTATACATATCTCTAATATCTGCACATACATTTGCACATCCAATTAGGTACTTATATATATTCAAATATTTAGAAAAAGAGAAAGTAAAAGATTATTTACCATGGAACAACATTTTTCATTTGGATTAAAGTAAGGCTCAACTACTCACAAATATACTTCAGAATGTTTTGGAATACATATCTGATTAAGGAATGTGGTAAATAGCTCATTACAGATAAAAGCTCTTTAGAAGTATATTTGGTAGATATTGACAATATTATTTTGGAACATTTATTTAAATCTCTGTACTTCTTGAATGTTTTGTGTTAGCAGCATTTGAGAATGCTAAAATGAGATAGTCTTTCAGCTTTTGAGTGTGAGTCTCATTAAATGTTTTTAACAGCAGTCAATCAACTGGTATTCAAAGCAAGCATCAAATGCTTCTTTGGCTTTAACTGAGCTGTGGTGTGATAATGCCAAAAGAATTTATGGGAAGTGTAATTTCCATAATCTGAATTGTTTTCATATGAGTACTACATCTGGCTTTCTCTAGTCGTAATATTTGGATAGATGTTCTTCAATGACATGACATGAAGAAAATGGAGCTTTCTAATCCCCATTTTCCTCAGACCTTCAGAGAGTCCATACATCTTTCCAAAATGTATGCATCTTGTTTTCCTAGTCTTGTGTACATTCTAAATGCAATAGTAGAGGAAAAACAGCTATGTTTGAACAGTTTAAATTCTTTATTGTTTAATTTCAGAGAAGGAGAAACTATTTTAATGAAATTTGAAAAACTCAATATTTTAAATACTTTTAAATGTTTTAAAATATTGTTTGAATAGGGGCTTTAGTAAACATAGCTAGCTACAGCATTCAAGTAAACATGGGAGGGAGTCAGTGCAGTTCTATCAATACGTCAGAAATAGAAAAAATTAAAAATTACTTACTATAGGCGAGCTGTACCCAGCCCTAATTCTTTCTGTGTATGTGCACTCAAGCACAAGCTTTTCCTCAAAGTGCACAGAAAATACAAAGGCAGTATTTACTTTTTGCTACTTAGAGTTTGGCCAAATTTCAAGTTTACTCATCTGGTAAGATGAAAAGATCTCAACAAGGGTCAGATGTAACGCTAGAAGAGAAACACAAATCGATACACAATTAAGGGCTGCATACTGTCGTTGCTATTGCTAAGAAATGCCACAACACATACCTGCTTGGTAGCTGCACGTTTTAAAAACGATTAAAAATAGAGGAAGCATTAAAGCTTGATATAAAGACAGAGGTGGAACACCTGCTGAGATGTAACAATATACACAGTAGTTGAACAAGCTTTGATGCGATATTACAGAGAAACATACAACATCTTTAGCATAGCCTATAGACACATGCACCAGATTTCTCTGCATCTGCATGCCACCCCCACAGGGTATGTATTCAGAAGTTAGAATTTGACGTGACAGTGACAATGGGATTGAAGCTTCATTCTCAAAGCAGAGATCAGTTGATTCTTTAAAGCAAATAAAACAGCAAGCCAACAAAAAGTGCTTCTTCAGACAACTCACTGTGACACCCATTGTATGTTACCTCAAATCTGAAAGAACAGTGAATGTTGGAATGAGGTGAGCATCTCAATATGTACTCCCTTAGCTGAATGATGGGTCAGTTCTTTATGTCACAGTAGAGATGTTCATTAGACCATCTGGCCATCAAAGGGATCATTATTAAATTTTCTTATGTTAAACACGACTTTGATGTTAAGTATCCTGCTTAAATATTTTTCAGGATCTGTATATTAAGATTTTTGTAGACTTTTGTTTTAAAGAAAATGTATTTATAGTAATAAAAAATAAAATTGAATTATATATACATCAAAGGAAGCTTTTTACCTGCTGAGTGGCTGGTAATACGGTTAAATATGAGACTTCCTATGTGATGTCTTTGAGACAGAAGATCCTCAACAGTAGTCTGTTCTTTGTTGGAAATCACTCAGCTCTTACTCTCTGCCCAACTAGAATTCATATGTTGGGACTGTGTGCCAGGCCAGAGGTTGAAGTACTGTTAGAGCTCCATTTAACGTTTGTAGTCTAGTAGTAGCAATCTGGAATGTGAAATATCAGATGACAACCATTTAGTTGTTGTGGACAAAAATGTAAGAAAATGGTAAAAGAATGCTCTGTTCTCAAATAATTCTTCAAACAGGTGGGTTTTTAAACAGCAGAGCATTGGTGTGTCAGTCCCCATTTCTCTGGAACTTACGTAGAAGGCAGGTGTCCAGTCTGCTTTCTGCAGTCTCTGAAGTGGGAGACACCTGCAGACAGTCATTCATCCCATCCTAAAATACACATCAGATAGGCAAGAGCTAAGAGGTGTCTAATATAGG